ACAGTCGGCCACTATGATGCATCAGCACCTGAGGGACAGACCTTTACAATGAACGACAGAACTATCATCTGGGCAGGAGGGAAAAGCAAGGTGAAACAGAAGCAGTCTACACATTCTGCTATTTTTCTTATTTGCACAAGAAGTCCTCCCTCAAAAAAAATCAGAATCTTTATTAATTTCTGAAGTAGTTCCATAATTGTGAAACACTTTGAAAAATAGTTATGCATATTACTCCAATACAGTAATTATAATTGAAATACAAATTTATGAAATGCTGTTTTAATACTGAGAAGCTACCAAAACAAACATCTTGCACAAAATGTAAAGTATAAGCAACATAAATCCTGTCTCATCTTGTAAACCTCTATAACAGAATATAGCTTTAAAGGGTGAATTTAATAGCACATTTATGTCTGCTACTTGATTAAAAGCAGCAAAGTAGTTTAATGTGAGTACAGAGGCTATGCTTTCCTTGCCAGATCCCTAAATCAGTGTGCAGTGAGAGCTGCGCTCCAGGCACTCGGAAGGCTGTTCAGAAGGGAAGGCCTGCCTGCTGCTTTGACTGTGTACCGTGTGCTGAAGGAGAGATCAGCAACACTACAGGTCAGTAATCTGACTGTCATTGCATGCACAGTAGCTGTAGCAGTACTGTCACATCAATTTACTGCTGTTTTAAAAGTACATGAAATAAAAGACTGTTGGGATTTTTGCAAGAACCAATACTTACAATGAAGTGGTAAAATCCAATAATAACATTTTTTAAACTCAAGGTGACAGAATGCACTGAGGCTCTAAGTAATTGAATTTTGCTTTTATAACAGAGCAATGTTTCTCTTGAAAAAGACTTATTACTGTTTTGGGTCAGTAGTCCAGTATATAGTCAATGCACTACTACAAAAAAGTACTGCACAATATTAAAGTATTTTAAATAGATTCTCAGTCTGTAAAATATGTTTTAAATATGATATAAATGATATTATCCCAAGAGTAACAAAACTAATTTTAAATTGCTCTTATTTTTCTTTATAGATTCCACGGATTGCATGACTTGTCCACTACAGTACTGGCCAAACGCTCAAAAGGACAAGTGCATCCC